TATGAAACTATTTCAGATTTATTTTGAAGTAATTCTGCACACACATAATTAGTATAATGCAGCAGTTACACCAACAAATATCAGTGAACCACGAAAACCATTTTATTACAACCAATGGCATCTGCCTTCTAGTTCATAAAGTCAGCATTTCACGGGTGCTTTAGTAAATATTTCCAGTAAATCTTTTAAATTTCTTTTAAAATATCCTCATGATATTGCATGAATCAGTTAAGATCTGGAAAATACATTGACAGCTGGAGAAGACATGCTGGGACTTTTTCTGCAGGAGGACAATGGAGCATTTCTCCTCTTCCAAACTCACTGGAGCAAGAGACAGAAAATGCTACTAATTCATTTGACCCGACCATGCATTCTTCTTCTCTCTGATACTAGGACCATGGAAACAATGACTGAAGGAAGAAATATTACTGATATCACCCAGTTCATCCTCCTGGGTTTTTCAGATTTCCCCCAAGTCATAGCACTGCTCTTTGTAATGTTCCTCACACTTTACATTACAACGCTGACCTGGAACCTGTCCCTTCTTGTTTTAATACAGATGGATTCCCACCTCCACACACCCATGTATTTCTTCCTCAGTAATCTGTCCTTTATAGACCTCTGCTACATCACCTCAACAGTCCCCAAGATGCTCTCAAACTTCTTCCAGGAAAAACAAACTATCAGCTTTGTGGGTTGCATAGTTCAATACTTTGTCTTTTCCACTATGGGGCTGAGTGAATCTTGCCTCATGACAGCTATGGCCTATGACAGGTATGCTGCCATTTGTAACCCACTGCTCTATTCATCAATCATGTCACCCACCCTCTGTGTTCGCATGGTGATGGGAAGCTACACAGCAGGGCTCCTAGGTTCTTTATCTCAGATATGTGTCTTGCTGCAGCTCCACTTCTGTGGACCTAATGTCATCAGACATTTCTTCTGTGACATGCCCCAGCTGTTAAATCTATCCTGCACTGACACTTTCTTTGCACAGATCCTGCTTGCTATATTAACAATGTTTTTTGGGCTTACAAATGCCTTAGCCATCATGATATCCTATGGCTTTATCGTCTTGTCCATCATGAAGATCACTTCAGCTAAGGGCAGGGCCAAAGCATTTAACACCTGTGCTTCTCACCTGACAGCAGTTTCACTATTCTACACCTCCAGCATCTTTGTCTATTTGAGTTCCAGCTCTGGTGGCTCCTCCAGCTTTGACAGATTTGCATCTGTTTTCTATACTGTGATGATTCCCATGTTGAACCCTTTGGTTTACAGTCTGAGGAACAAGGAAATCAGAGGTGCTGTAAAGAGGTTACAAAGGAAGACAGGATGCTTCTAACAAAAGATTCTGAGATTTCTTACTGATCTGCCAGACAAAATACCTAAACATTCAAATTTACATTTTTGATGCTTCAGTTGAAGACTTAGCCCTGGGACCTGTCCCTACAGAAGATGCCTGATTGAGCCTGTCTGGGTCCAGAACCCTTGTCTCTCAAATGGCCCAGTGCAGCATAATAAAACCTGGTGGGTTGTTCTTTGTTTCTGAACAGTGGACATAATGTTTGAAGTAATAAAAGTAACATTTGCTTGGCTGTGCCTACTGGAAATGAACTACTTCTGATAATTACAGTATTTCTAAGACAAATCAATGCTAATCATCTATCAAGTCTTGGGTCATATTCTTATCTCCACCAGCTACTGGATAAGTGAAAAAGACATGGTCTAACTCTTCAGTAGTTATGAAGGACGTGGTTTGTTCAGAGCTATTTAATATGAATGTGGTTATTTAATTATTGAAACTAGAGTACAGATGAAATTTCATATTTAAATTCCAAAACCAATAGCAATATCTGATACTGTGGTTTCTTTTGCCTCATTAAAGCATGACTATTTGGTTAACATAGAATATGGCAACTTACTATCAAATAGCTTCTTATATTTCAAATATTTGTTATATTTCTTATGGCAATACATGTATGAGTTCACTGTGCTAAGTTACTGAATACTCAATATTCTAAAGACTAATAGTAAATATGGAAAATTCTGTATAGGCCTCCAAATTAAAAAAAATACAGTTATAATCAAGAAACTACTAAGTATCCAGAAGACACTCTGAACCCTGAATATAAGCGTCTTAGAGGAGCTTGGATGGCCTGTTGTGTAGAGAGCACAATTACTTCTCTATATTTGGGCTGGTAAAAACAAGTTTGTATTAAAAGACAATGGCATTAGTTTGTTCCATATTTACTTTCTTCTAGTTTCTTTGTCACTTGAGATTATACTAGAATCCAGTAGCAGAGATGGAGGAGTGATGAGCAAAGGGGTCAAGACCAGGCTGGTGAAAACCACAGAAACAGCTGACCAGAACAAGGGGAAGTACATGGACCCCAGACTGATGACTGGGAAACCAGCAGAGGACTGATCCAGACCACCTAAATGTGGGTGTCAGTGAGGAGGTCTCAGCAATACATGGGGCCTTTGGTAGTAGTATTTATCCCTTCACATAAATGGACTTTGGGAGCTCATTCCACATAGAGGGATACTCTCTCAGCCTAGACACATGGAGGAGGGCCTAGGCCCTTCTCCAAATGATATGACAGACTTTGAAGATTCTCATGGAAGGCCTCACCATCTCTGGGGAGCAAAATGGGGATGTGATAGGGAGTTAGTGGGGGGCAGGAGAAGGCGGGAGGGGAGTGAACTGGGATTGGCATGTAAAACAAGCTTCATTCTAATTTAAACAAAAAATATAGAAAAAAAAGAAAAGAATGATTTTAAAATGTCATTAACATGACAGAATTGACCCAGTTTGATAACAGAACAGACAAGAAGGTGGGAAAGAGGGAAGGATGAGAATTATCCTTAGCATCCTTTCTTAGCTACAGGACACAATGGGGCATTGATGAGGACAAATATGTGGAAGAAAAAAGAAAATGGAGATGCTGGAAGACTTACACTTTCAAAATATACTGTAAGGACAGAATAGTACTAGCATGAAGACAGACATACAAGTCAATGAAGCAGACTATAGCATCTAGGAATAAACCCTTGCACATTTGTCAGATGTTTTTGAAAGAAGCACTTACAACAGTCAAATCAATGCAATCTAGAATCAACTAGAAAGAGCTTCAATGAGGTACTATCTGGATAGGGCTGGTCTATAGGTGTGTCTGTATGCACGTACGGGTGATTGTTTTGTTCATTTTAATCAACAGGGAAGACCCAGCCTACCATGGGTGGCACCATTCCCTATATTTGGATCCTAGATTACCTAGCAGTGAACAAAATGTGCTGAGAAATATGCATGCATGCATACATGCATTCTCTCTCTGCTCTTGACTATGAAGAGCTACTTCAGGTTCCTGCTTTGACTTTCCTGAAATGATGTGCTGAAATTGTGAGCTGAATAAACTTCTTCTCCCTAAAAATAAAAAAAAAAGAAAGAGAAAGAAAAAAAAGTTACTACCTACATGCTTATATCCTTCAAGAAGTTTCACAATTTATAGAAGAATAGGCGGGAATGCAGACTGGCTTCTCTCTAGTCAATTATTGCTATTTAGGAGAGAACATAGGATTTGTGATCCTAGCTCTTTAATTAAAAACAGGACTATGCTGTAGTATTAGTAACAATAATGCCTTGTTTTGCTAGTTCCTCAAGACCTGAACAGATTTATTTAAACCAACTGTCATGAACACATGTTATTTGTAGAAATTTGTTAGAGTCTTAGTGTTGTCTAGGGGAGCAAGGCTAACAAAAACTCACAGGTGAAACCATTTGACTAAGGCCATAAGTGAAGAGATAGTCAAGAGTTTACACATGACCAGGGTAGAGACAACGGGGTGTATAGAACATGTAAGAGAATGAAGAGTTTCACTCCATGCCAAGGAAACAATACAATATGAATAGAGGATATGTGACCACCCACCCAGGCATATTCTTATGAGCATAATTCTTTAAAGATGGATAAAAATTCATGAGAAATATATTTCTGAAGGACTCTAGGAGCTTCAGAAGGATGCATACATGTGGAATTCATTAGAGAACTTTTCTGGAATATTGCAAAGATCTACTTTCCTTTTGTCTTTATTTTTTAATTTTTTGGATTGCTACAAGAACATTACATGTTTATGAAGTACATCATGATGTTTTGGTGTATGTATACCCTAAATAATATCCAAATCAGAGCAACTTTCATATTCATCACCTTAAATTATTGAATTTTTGGTTTAAAAAATCACATATTAAAAATCCTGCCTTCATAATGGTAGAGAAAAAAACATTAAACATTTTTCTCAAATGCAAAAATAGTGGCACAAAGTATAATAGGAGATGCGAACAGGAGCAAAGTATAATAATACACATGTATGGAAATGTCATAATGGAATTCATCATTTTGTGTGCTAACAAAAAGCTAATTAAGAAGCTCTTACTTGAAACTGTTTTGAAATTAATACAATACAGGGCAGTGGTTCTGGGAGTCTCGTGTTCGTGGTGCCGTTACTTGTTACTCTTCCTGTAAGTAGAACTAATGCTTAAGTCTCTGGCTTGAAAGAAAAACAAAACCAAAAAGCAAAACTATAGCTCAGGGTGAATTTTGTGTCTAATTATAAACCTATAACCAAAACTGAAAACATGCTGGTACTGGTCTACTTAGAACCCGTGTCCGCCTCCCCCCCCGGCCAACTTAGAAGTGTGTTGCATTTAGTACAGAACTCATTTTTTAAACAAGGGCCTCCTATATTTTTCAGGGTGTTAACTGGTTGTATCTGATTAGCAGGGAGCTTTGGCTTCCCAGTGTGGGGGTGGAGTGTGGGGGTGGAGTGTGGGGGTGGAGTGTGGGGGTGGAGTGTGGGGGTGGAGTGTGGGGGTGGAGTGTGGGGGTGGAGTGTGGGGGTGGAGTGTGGGGGTGGAGTGTGGGGGTGGAGTGTGGGGGTGGAGTGTGGGGGTGGAGTGTGGGGGTGGAGTGTGGGGGTGGTAGGGAACAGTGGCAGGCTTCTAGCAAGCACCGAGAAGCGCTTGGCAGCCAGATGAGTGCATTCAGGGCTAACATGTAAACCCTTGGCTTCTCCAACTCTCCTACTCCCTGCCTCTCGGGCGCTTTGCAGCTCCTTAGCATTTGGGTTTTTTTTTTTTTTTTCTGCCAGAGGGGTGGGTCAGAGCTGTGGAGAGGAAGGCATTGCTTGTGTGCTGCTGCTGGCCCTGGGACTGCATGGTTGGCAGACAGGTTGATGAGCTGTAAGTTGACTTTAATTTCCGAATCGTTAGGTATCCCTAAGAATACCTTGGGGGTTCCCTTCTGGTAAGAGCACTGAAGGTCCCTGGTATGAAGAAGTGAATGGCAGTGGCTATGTCTTGTAAGGGGATTGAACTGCCCAGCTGTGGACCTAGCCTCAGGCTTGTGGTCTAAGCCCTTGGTAGTTTCAAAGGGAGACGGAGGTGACTGACTTTTTTTAAAACTTACTTCCTGTCTTTTACCTTTTACCAAGTCTTTGTAGAAGCTGGGTAGACTCTACTGTAGCAGCCCCATAGCCTGCCCCAAAAGGCTACCTTTGAACCAGGATTCTTGTGTGATCAGGAACCCTGCACGGGAATCAGAAACCCTAACCCCCAGGGAATGTGAAGCAGACAGTTTTGGAGCAGTGGGAGGCAGAGCACCCCTATCTCCTCAGCCTTTTCTTCTGACACCTTGGAGCACAACTAGCCCAGGGCTTGGTGTTGGCAGTCTGAGTTTGTGAGGGGAAATAGCAGGGTGTCAAGGCAGTACCCTTGGGTCAGATAGCACTTTTCTGTAAATGCCCTCTCTCTCTCTCTCTCTCTCTCTCTCTCTCTCTCTCTCTCTCTCTCTCTCTCTCTCTCTCTCTCTCTCAATGTATATATATATACATATATGTGTGTGTGTGTTTCTGTGTGTGTGTTTGTGTGTATGTATGTATGTATATGTATATGTATAAAGTAACTAGTTAGCTGGCATCCTGCTTTAGCCTGAGACTTGCCCTAGGAAACTGCCGAGTCTTTGGCGCACCTTCAGAGCTGTGTTCTCCGTCTGTTCCGGGGAGCTGTTGAGCAAGGCAAACACCTTGATAGTTCAGGTGAGCTTTAATGCGCTGTTGCCAGGGAAGGCTTTCTGATTTTTTTGACAAATTTTTGCACACTTTAATTGGTGTCTTTGAGCAATTTAAACACATTAGCTGTTGTACATAGTTTTATATTCTCTTTATAAGTGCATATCCAACTTGTAACCTTATTGTAATGAATGACTGTCCAGTAGGCCTAGTGTTACTGTCACACAAGAGGGATCGCATCTATCATTCACCCCTCAGCATCCTGGGAACTTCTTCTTGAACAAAGAATAAATTTGGACAAGTTGACTATTAGTTCAGTTATCTTAACCATTAGAATTATTTATTGTGTGTCCTAAATATTACTTTTCTTTGACAGCAACCAGATTTATACTGTTGTGTCTTAACCGACCCCCTCAGCTGGTAGTCACCTACTTTTATTTTAAATATCCCTTGAAGTTGTCCTGTAGGAGACAAATTCTCAAGATATTGGGGTTGCTCAGTCATATGAGTGTTCACCTTGTTGAGGGATGTTTATACTGTTTTTTCATGACCCACAACACTAATTCCCACCTACTATATGTAGAATGCATCTCTACATTCTCACAACCGACTTTTGTCTTTTTCATAATTCTCATTATAACTGGAATGAGTTGATTTTGATTTAACTTGCATACCTCTGATGATATTAAATTCTTCTCATATTTTTCAAACTGTACACATTTTCCCCCATTTTAAAAACTCTAGTTGGAGGAATTTAGCTATTAAGTTGTTCAAGTTAATTACATATTTTAAATAAGCTCCATTTGTCAAATATATTACTTATAAATATCTTCCCCCATTGTGTAGGTTGTCTCTGAATCTGTTTGTTGTTTTCATTCCTATATGAAAGCTTTTCATTTACACTGATTCAGTTTGGTTGGTATGGATTTTTTCCCCTTGATTTTGAGATTTTATTGATTACAACCTCCTAGACCAACATCCTGAGGTTTTTCCTTTGGATCTTCTGATGGTTTCATAGTTTGAATCTTTAATACATTTTGAGTTCATTTTTGTGCATTATGAGACATATATTTCTAAATAATTTTTCTGTGCATAGAACTGTAGTTTTCCTAGCATTGCTTAAGTAATTGATCCTTAGTATGTTCCTGGAAAATGTAAAAAATTAAATTGGCTGTAGGTCTGAGAAAACTGCCCAATAGTAAATTGCTTACTTAGCACGTATGGGGCCTCAGGTTCAATCCCTAGGGGAAAGAAGTAATACTTGGTTGTCACGACCACCCTCGACCAACAAGAATGACACGGCAACGAGGAATCTTCTTCTCACAGTTTATTCGGGAAACTTGCTTACAGGGAGTGGCCCCGACCCCAGGGAGTTGGGGCTTAATATACTCAGCGATAGCCAATCATCTACATGCTAGGATGGGTTGTCACCAAGCAGATCTAGAAGGGTACGTGGCCTTACTCCTAATAAGGAGTTGTTTACTTACTGAGAGCACTCACAGTCGGGCTGGCGGGATGCGGAAACCGATGCCATCTATAGGCGCGGTACACTGCAGCTCCCAACACTTGGTGTGCGTATATTTAATTCAGAATTCTCCATCCTGTTTAGTCACCCTATGTACTGGTCTTGTTTGTTTTGTTTATAAAAGAAATTTATTTTCACTCATGTATGTACCTTCCTGTCTGTCAAATGTAGTGCAATGATCCAGGTGGTCAGTAAAAGACATCCCGTGAAGATGGATTTGAAGGTGACTGTAAGGCGCTTCCTATGAGTGCCCAGAGAACAAAGGTCCTCTAAGCGAGTAATAAGTACTTGGAAGAGCATGGCCATATTCTGAAACTCCTTTTACATTTGTTTTTATACAAGTACCATGTTCTTACTATAGTTTTTTAAAATTTTCTTTTTCTTTATTTTTTTAGAATTTTCTTATTTAAATAAGAAACAAGCTTCACAGGTCAATCCCAGCTCCCTCTCCTTCTCCCTCCCTTCCTAATCACACCACCAATCCTCCCAATTCCCCAACCAATCCCCACTCAACTCTCCAAAGAGGATGAGGCCCTTCATGGGGGATCTCTAAAGTCTGTAATATCATCCAGGGCAGGGCCTAAGTCCTCCCCCATGTGTCCAGGCTGAGAAAACATCCCTCCATATGGAATGGCCTCCCAAAATCCATTCAGATGCCAGGGCTAAATGCTGATCTAGTACCTGAGGCCCCAAAGATTACAGAGGCCTCCTCACTGACACCCAAGTTCAGGAGTTCTGGATCAGTTTCATGCTGACCTCTCAGCCATCAGTCTGGGGACCATGAGCTCCCTGTTGTTCAGGTCAACTGTTTTTGTGGGTTTCACCTGCCTGGTCATGACCCCTTTGCTCATTACTCCTCCCTCTCTGCACGCAGGTTCCAGGAGTTCAGTTCAGTGTTTAGCTATGTGTATCTGCCTTTGCTTCCATCAGTCACTGGATGAAGACTCTAGGATGGCATACAAGGTAGTTGACAATCTCATTGTCGGGGAAGGGCTTTTAAGATTGCCTCTCCACTATTGCTTAGATTGTCAGTTGGTGTCATCCTGGTAGTTCTCTGGAAATCACATTAGTACCAGATCTCTCCTCAACCTATAATGACTCACTCTGTTATGGTATCTCTCATCCTTTTCTCCTCTATTCTTTCCCTGACTCAAACTTCCTGCTCCCCCATGTCCTACTCTCTCCTTCTCTTCTCCCCCTCACTTTATCCCTGCTCCCTGTCTCCTCCTCCCATGCTCCCAGTCCACTCAGGAGATCCTGTTCCATTCCTCTGCTCTGGGGTACCATGCATCCCAGAGTCCTCTCTGTTTCCCAGACTTTCTGGTTGTGAGATTGTAGCCTGACACTCCGCTGCTTCATGTCTAAAATCAATATATGAGTGAGTACATATCATGTTTGTCTTTTTGTGACTGGGTTTCCTTACTCAGGATAGTTTCCTCTAGTGCCATCCATTTGCCTGCAAATTTTAAAATTCCATTGTTTTTTCCACTGAATAGTACTTCATTGTATATGTACCACATTTTCTCTTTCCTCTCTTCAGCTGAGGGGCATCTAGGTTGCTTCCAGTTTCTGGCTATTACAAATATGAACATAGTGGAACAGATGTCCTTGTTGTATGAATGTGCATCTTTTTGGTATATGCCTAAGAGTGGAATTGCTGGGTCTTGTGGTAGACTGATTCTCATTTTCCTGAGGAATCTCCATACTGATTTCCAAAGTGGCTGAACCAGTTGGCACTCCCACCAGCAGTGAAAGAGTGTTCCCCTTTCTTCATAACCTCTCCAGCATAAACTGTCTTTGGTGTTTTTGATTTTAGCCATTCTGACAGGAGTGAGATGGTATCTCAGAGTTGTTTTGATTTGCATTTCCCTAATGGCTAAGGATGCTGAGCATTTTCTTAAGTGCCTCTCAGCCATTTTAGACTCCTCTATTGAGAGTTCTCTGTTTAGTTCTGTACCCCACTTTTAAAATGGATCCTTTGATGTTTTTGAGAATTGCTTCATGAGTTCTTTATAAATTTTGGAGATCATCCCTCTGTCAGATACGGGGTTAGTGAATATCTTTTCCCATTCTGTGGGCTGCCTTTTTGTCTTGTTGATTGTGTGCTTTGCCTTTCAGAAGCTTCTCAGTTTCAGGAGGTCCCATTTATTAATTGTTGATCTTAGTGTCTGTGCTACTGGTGTTATATTCAGGAAGCGGTCTCCTGACCAATTCATTCAAGAGTACCTCTCACTTTATCTTCTAAGAGGTTCAGTGTGGCTGGATTTATGCTGAGGTCTTTGATCTATTTGGACTTAAGTTTTCTGCATGGCGATAGACATGGATCTATCTACAGTCTTTTACATGCCAGCATCCAGTTATGCCAGTACCATTTGTTGAAGATGCCTTATTTTTTCCAGTGTATAATTTTTGCTTCTTTGTCAAAAATCAAGTATTCATAGGAGTGTGGGTTAATACCAGGGTTTTCTATTTCATTCCATTGGTTTACCTATATATTTCTGTGCCAATATCAAGCTGTTTTTAGGACTATAGCTCTATAATGGAGCTTGAAGTCAGGGATGGTGATGCCAATGGAAGTTCCTTTATTGTACAGGGTTGTTTTGGCTATCCAGGGTCTTTTGTTTTTCCATATAAAGTTGATTATTGTT